TCCATGCTCCTTTGTTCAAGGTATGCGCACTACTTTTTATTCGCTAGTACACAGACTGAGCTTTCCAACGATGTATGATATGTGGGGGTTGTCTCAAAATACTTTTCGGAAAAGTCGGTCAAAAAGAGATGGATTTTCGGAGTCCTCTTCAGCACCGTCAGCCGTGTTTGCTAATCATATCGGCTAGGGGTGATGCTGAAAACAATTAAAATTGGCATATTTCCATCCCAAAGTATTGTTTAATATTTCTAGAGATGAAAGTTAAAATGTTGAATAACAAATTGGTGCAAAAATCTCAATTTTCATAGGAAAGCCCAAAATGACCTTTGAGACGGCCTAGCTCTAAAGTAAGCACAGCGACTTTCGAACGGTTTTCGCAGCTCGCCACACATATAAAGAATGATATGTGTACCACAGTGATGATAAAAAGTATGGACTGCATATTTATAGTAGGTCTAATACAAAATTCCGTGGTTATGACAACACACATCCAGTTTCAGTTGCAGCATGCAGATATCTCATCATAAAATTTTACGCAGTCTATTGACAAACGCATAATCATAAGAATCTACTTGTACTACTTGTAACTTGAAAATAGCCAAGACAACAAACAAATAAGAACAGATGCAAACCTACTTGAAACTATAAAGTAAAAGAACGAAAATAGAACTCAGCAGATTTAAGACACTTGGATGAATATCAGTAGTTGAAAGAAAGAGTGCACAACACCTGCCCACCCACGTACATTGTTCATTTCAAACCGGTACTTATATTTTTTGGTAAAAGGAAAGGACAGAAAGGTGACATAAATAAATTTTTAACAAGCAAAAGCAATGGGAAGGAAAGAATCAAGTTGGTTGCATACTGTCTTGGGCAGGAGAAGAATACTTCAGTTCAGGGGCAAGAGAAAGATAGAGATGAAGGAAAGGGAAAATGACTATAAAAAGACAACGAAGATGAAAGATGTACACAGTTCTTTAGAGTGAGGAGAGAGAGAGACTAGGAGATGTTCATTACTTATCTTCTGTACTCACCAGCTCATTGTGGGCATCCAAGCATGATCCAGGGGAGGGGTAGCCTCTTAGATGTGAAGGAAATAGGATCGTCTTTGCCAACTTGAGACGCTGCTGTCCTTCGTTTTCCTAACAAAATGTTCATTAACTCTTTATCTGCTTGGGGTTTTGAACAGATTTTGTTGGGGTTTTTCCCCTTGATAAAATTCTGATCAAGGTTGTTTCACAAAAAAAGCCATATTTAGATCAAATACACTGAAATATAGTTGTAGCACACACCAAAATGTCCGGAAATGTACTTTTATAAAATATGCATTTTGTTGGGAAATTTATATATCTTTTTATGTTATGCAATGATAAACTTGCCATCATTTTTTCTTCACACAAAAAAATTTTCAAATATTAATTTCAATCTCTGCAAAGTACAAAACTATTCAAGATACAAAACTATTCAA